TATCTATCTATCTATCTATCTATCTATCTATCTATCTATCTATCTATCTATCTATATCCCTACACCTTGCCGATCTGTAATATTATTATATCTTCCTCACTTTGTTTCTCTCTCCCCCTTTCTCTCTCTCTACATCTCACTCTCTCTATCTCTGTCTCCCTCTCCCTCTCTCTGCCTCCCCCCCTATTTCTCTGTCCCTCTAACTGCGGGTGGGATTCTCACAATTTTGTTATAGACATACTATTATCAAAAATTTAAAGATTAAGGTAATATAATTGGAGCGCAGTTACTCAACTATTCCCTACTGGAGACGTCTTTGGGGTTGTTCCATTTTAGCGTTGACAATAACGTAATCCAATGGAACTAAACAGATAGCCGACAAACTCATCCAATTGTGATAATCCTTTGCAAAAACAAACACCCTGTTTACCAGAATGGACTCTGCACTTTTAATAAATTAATAACTGATTATAGTATTATTATTAGATAGAAAGTAAAAAATCCGAAACGTAGGCTTATGTCATTTTGCTCGCTCATTAAGGACTACAACATCTTACAACGATTATGGTCATCTCATTCAGTACTTACTTCGGGAGATTCAGAAATGACAATTAGGACCAGGTGTATCTTGTTTTTCTTATCAAACGAAGGGATCAGGTGCAACACAGGCTAAGTCTCACTAGTCTCTCCATGACTCTGTTTTTCTCTTTTTTTCTCCCCTGCAAGTTGTGCACGTTAAAGATCCCTTGGTGGTCTAAAATCGATAAGAGTAGGCTTCGGCCACCACCCTGGCAAAATTCAAAATTTCCTACCAACTGAAAATATTAGGTGTGTCCCGCGCGCTCATATGACTTTATGCAGTTGCGAGAGCCGTAAAACACATTACAAAAACAAAAACAAACCAAACAATCATTACAGTTATTATAATAGTATGCTCTAGTTTCACAACGAGATACGGACAATGAAGCGAAAATCCATTCTCTTTAAAAAGCATAGAACGACATTCGAATGACACTTCTCTCCTCGAATATTCGTGAGTAGAAGAACAATCGTAAACTTCGAATAGTAAAGTCGAGTGGTCACAGCTCTTGATGCAGACGTCGGCGGCCACCAGAGCCCGCGCGTTATCTCAGCAAACGATGTAACAACCACCAGGGCCACAGACAGACGACAGCTGACAGGTCTCTCGGATCGTCTGTAGGGGCTCGCGCGCTGTGGGCCGGGGGCTGGAG